TTGGCCAAATTCCCGCAGAAGGGTATGGAGGAAATATAAATCAGAGTACTACAGGGTGTATAAAAAAAAACTGAACAGATTTAAAATTGCTCTCAATTTCGCAAAACAGCTATTTGTATCCGGTTTTTGATATATATAGCCTCTTTGGGTACTTATAATGTAGAATAATGAGAAAGATTTCTCGAACTCAAATTTTGTGAACCAGGGGGGTGTGTCTTTTCCAACAAACTAAAAATGGCTCGCACACAAAATTTAAAAGCTGCAATCATATTTTGAGTTAACAGATGGAAAATTTGTCGGGATTTTAATTACTGTACAAAATTTCAGACAATTTAGTTTAGTTTAAGCCCCTTAACTCTTTCCCGACCAGTCCCTATTAAACAAATCACTCATGATTTATCATTTTTGCGGTTCATATCTTCAGTTCGGTAAATGCTACGTGGACCAAAATACCACCATTCGATTCAGTGTAACGATAGCTACTCATTTCTATCGATAGATTTAGTGAATGGCAACATTATAGCGATTTATGAGCTTTGAAAGTCAAACGAGCTCGTATATGATCAAATTACGCAATATTACTGACAAATTATAAACATAAACATACCTTTCGCCGAATATAACTTCGTTCCATTGAGACGTATGCTCATTCTGTCCGTCTTGATGAATTCAGAAGTTAAAAATAACACGTATAGTGTTATTTTCAAGCTTCTGTCTTTAAAGTTCGACATTTAGTGCCGAATTTTGTATTTCTGCTCCGAATATGCGTTAATCCCAACCGGAAATACGACGAAAAACCGTCAAAACAATGCTACGCTTGTATCGCGTGACTCTGGAAATGCCAGAAATGGATTCTACAGGTCAAAGTGCACCCATACGCGTGAGTTTTACGTCATCCCGGCTAAAGGGAGCTCCTTATTGGCCAAGTATTACGTAATACAAGCGCGTGCCAGTAAAACCCGATACTTTAAAAATTCAAAATAAATATTTCTATTCGGCGTATACATACGAAACTTTCTACACGAAAGCGCTTGAATACAAAGAGTATTTTACACATATATCCTTTCAGGAAATGACACCAAAGTTTAGAATATATTCAACTTTTTTTAATTTTCTCGTTTGAATGTTTGGCGAAGCGGTGAGTATAAATATATGATTGTTTCGGTTTGTGTAATGTTTTGACGGCACTTGACCCCCCGTTCGAAAGGTTATATTGTGAGGATTTCAATGGTGGCATTTATTTAAAAGGGGGGTAAATACTCGCCGAGATATTTATATTAGAAAAATTGAATCGAAATGTAATACGAAACCGGTTGTCGAGAAAGAGTTTTAAAATACGTTTCAATCAATTAATCAATCATTAACACATATGTACAAAGTTTCTTTATTTTGAACTCATCAACATGCATGAACAAGTTAATTCTGTGATTGGTTTACTACGGTGGTTTAGAGGTGACATCAAACCACTTTTATTTTTGCTACTTTTTTCGCTTATGCCTTTTATTTTTGTGACTTTTTTCTTTTACGCATTTTATTTTGGCAATTGCTAGATAGTATACTTCAAAATAAGGTTTCCGTTTTTATATCAATTTTTAAAATAAGTTAGGGTTAGGTTAGGGTTTAGGTTAGGGTTAGGTTAAGGTTAGGGTGAGGGATAGTATTAGGGTTAGGGTTTAGTTTTGAGTTAGGATAGTTTTTTCTACGTTATAAAAACGGAAACCTTATTTTGAAGTATACTATCTAGCGATCACCATTTTATTTTCGCGACTTTATTCGTGACTTTTTTCGCTTACGCCTTTTATTTTCGCGACTTTATTTGCGACTTCATTCGCGACTTTTTTCGCGACTTTTTTCGCTTATGTCTTTTGTTTTCGCAACTTTTTTCATACTGTACAGATTTGGTTTGACTGAGATAACAGGTGTAGAAAGACGACATAATTAATTGGCTGTAATAATAGATACTAAAAACTTTTGGACCAGTCTGGGTAGTACCGATCATTTTTCACTAGTGAAAAACATCGTTCGTCGTGAATCAGACGGCACGAACGATGTTGTTTCACTAGTGAAATTTCGGGTTATCATTCCATGTTTCGCCCACCAATATAGGTTAGGGTTAGGGGTTAGGTATTAGGGTTAGGTTAGGGTTAGGGGTTAGGGTGTGTTATATGTGTATGGAGGTATCTAGTGAACTTTTCAGAACACTATAATATCCATTACATAACGTTTACCATATTGGTGCGCGAAACATGGAACGATTACCAAATTTCGCTAGTGAAATGTCGCTGATTGACTGTGGCAAAATTCCGTACGATTATTACGCAATGACAGTTTAATGAATAAATCTCAGTACTTATATATAAATAAATATACTTCACTGTGTATAGTTCACTTGATTTTACTGCGAAAAAAGTCGCGAACTATAAAGTCGCGAAAATAAAAGGCGTATTATGCGAAAAAAGTCGCGAAAATAAAAGGCGAATAAGCGAAAAAAGTCGCGAAAATGAAAAAGTGGTGGGATGTCATCCCTAAACAACCGTCGTTTACAAATAGCAATGAAACACAATAAAACTAAAGAATACTTTTTTAAGAAACGAAGCACAAACATTTATCATGACTTGTATTTGAGCAAGTCAATCACAGAACATGCTCACATTAATTTCAACAGACTATTTGCATATAGACTAAATTTTGATCTAGACAAAAATTTCATCACACCTTGAAAGAGCATCACAAAATTAGTAATAGAGAGGTTAGGATACGCCGCTTCCGATTTACGGGTACGAGAATCGCCATTTTGTTTAGCAATTTTTGCTGATGTCAGCATTTTTACCCATACTTTCTACCCGTTTCCCCGCGGTAAACCAAGGTCGACACGTAAAAGACAAACGGGTACGGGTGTTTTCTGTTTACTATATGTGGACCGTTTAAATAGTAAAAATTTTCAACATCTTACCCAAATAAATAATGCACATATGCTCGTCAAAATTTTCAACAATTTATGGCGAACCTCGACAGCGAAAGTTACCATCCTCTGATCGGTTTACACACGTTAGTTCTTACATAACTTCGTTATGAAGTTAGTTCTGAGGATGTTTTAAAAGAATTAGACTGGCAACCTTTAAACCAACGCTATAAAACCAATAAATCGATTTTTATGCACAGAATACGAAACGAAAAAATGCATCATCAATTTGCAACATGTTCAAAATTAAAATAAATGACAGATATGATTTAAGAAGTAACAATAACAACTATGATCTTGGAAAACCTGAAACAAATTTTATGAAAAAGAGCTTCAGTTATTCAGCTGCATCCCTTTGGAATGACTTATCAACTACAGCAAAAGAAAAAGGCATTAACCTTAACAAATTTAAACGTATTCTTGACGGCACTTGATTCCTCTTGGTAACTTTGTAAATATTTAAATAGGATAAGATATTTTTAGATACAAATGTAGTGCATGCAATTATTAAGTTCGTTATGTTTTCTCTGTTTTTGTGTGTATATTTGTGTTATTATATTTATATAGCTTGTAAATACAGTAATAAACGGCCTCTTGAAAAACAGGTGCCTACGAGCCCTGAAGAGCTACCGTTTTAAAATATTTTTAAATAATAATAATAATAATAATAATAATAATATATTGGATTTCTTAAGTTACAAGTCGTTCCCCGATTTATGGGTACGGGTACGTGTATATCACCCGTACCCGTTAACAGGAACAGGGGTATCTTAACCTCTCTAATATTAGTCCAAAGTTTCGTTGCGAAATTTTGTAAAATGTGGATAATATAGCCTTGCGAAGTTTCAGTGCCGTTTTTCAGTCATTTTGTATTACGCACGGGAAATTGACAGCCCAATCGTGTGTTGGGGCATCAATTTCCTGTGCGTAATACAAAATGACTGAAAATTGCAAATTTCGCAAGGCTATATTATCCGCATTTTATAACATTTTGTAACGAAACTTTGGAATATTACTAATTTTGTGATGCTCTTTCAAGCTGTGACTTGTTTAGATCAAAATTTAGTCTATAATGCAAACGGTCCATTGTTTCGTCGCAAACCTTTTATGCTCAATTCAAACGTCGCGCTTACCATAAGCTAAACTTGTCCTAAGTCTCTCTCAAATCCAGTTTCGAGACAGTCTATGCAGTCAATTATGAGACCAGTGAATGGTTTGGAAGGAACAACTAAAGTCTCATAACACGCTATCAAACAAGAAGGACGAGGCTTGACGCAAGTCTAATCATGAGCTGAAACTAACGTTAATGACCTAAACCAATTATTTCATGCAGCTCCCGTTGCCTATAGGCACATGAAAAGTTCGACGTGTGAATTAGGTTTTCGTACTTACTTATGTTTTACACCTTAATCCATATCTCATCTCTATTTCTTTCTCTGCAACGTTGACAAAAATGATCCGCTTCATCATTCTTACAGCCAAGCAAAGCATAAAGAAATCCTTTCTTTCGACGGCAAAGTGTAAAGTCCATAATTAATATAGTAAAGAGTACCAACCTAACGACAATAGAAATGCGGCGAGGATAACTTTGCCGGAAGCAATGTGAACTAGAATCTCATAATTTGCCTCTAAACAGAAACATAATAATTCCTGTTAATCGTCAGTAAATCCCGATACCTATATCAAAGCCCCCCTCTCTAATAAGTCTCCTGTATAATAACCCCCTCTTTCTAATGAATTAAGAACCCTCTCTCCAATACGTCCCTTCTCTAATATGTCTAATAATTCCCTCTTTCCAATGATCGAACCCTCTCTCCACTACGTCCTTCAAATCTAATATGCTTCTGCATAATAAGCATTCTTACCTTTATCACGCGGGTTTCCACCTTCTGATGATCCTAGTACAAGCTTTCCAGGTTTTGTGTGATATTTTGAGTTGTAGGGCTTGGGTCATTTTGTGTCGTAGGGTTTGGGCTATTTTGCGTTGCAGTGCTTGGGCTATTTTCTGTTGTAGGGTTTGGGCGATTTTGTATTTTAAGGTTTGGGCTATTTTGTCTTGTAGGGTTTGGGCTATTTTGTGTTGTAGGGTTTGGGATATTTTGCGTTGTAGGTTTTGGGCTATATTCATGTGTTGCAGAGTTTAAGCATGGTTGTGGTTCAGCGTTTTCTCCGTCATAAGCCTTGCATGAAATATCATTTGTAACGTTCACGAAATTGAACTTCACTCCATATGTGAAGGTATATAATGTCCACTTCAGATGTGCTCTTGTTTAACGCCACGCTGCCAGGCAAGCACTGTTGGTAGGCCGGCCAGATATTTAGAACGTGAGACAGCGTGTTCATGTTCAGCGGCGAGACGGTATCTTGGTCGAGGTTTGCAATTATGACTGTGACACTAATGTATCAGATTGACTGGATTTTTCGTGTAGTTCGCTTTGAAATAAGCTTCTGATACTGCTAGAAAAATTCATACACATCAAAGTTAAGGTGTAAATACATTGTAATAATCACCTTTCCTTACAGCTGAGACCTGAATTACGCGGTTAAACGTCACAGATGGCTGGCTAATGGGTCAGGGATTATTATTTTTTTTTTTCTGTGTTGGTGCTATCTAGTTCCTTCTAGTATATATCTAGTTCCTTCAATACCAATGTGTTCTAGTAATATGAAAAATTCATATTACTAGAACACATTGGTATTGAAGGAACTAGATACTGTTCCGAAATATCACTTACTCGAACCGTCCTGACCGCGTAGCTCAGTTGGAAGAGCATTGGGCTAGTATTCCAAAGGTCGTAGGTTCGAATCCCACCGTGGCCGGGCATATTTTTCAAGCTCGCCCGGTGTGGATATGCACTCAGAGTAACATCGCAAACATAGGGTCAGGGATTGTCACCTGCATAGAATGTAGCTGAGGTGCAATGGTTACTTTTTGGTGTGAGAGAAAATCCGTGGCAGGGATTCAGAAGAAAATCCTTCGTCGGATGCGGTACTGGAAAGAACCAAGGACAGGCCCCGTTTTTCACGCGCTGCTGCTTTATCCTTTGTCGGCATTTTTCATCACATCAGTGAGAGCGATGCCTAAAAAGACGCTTCGCGCGAACAAATTCACCCTGTGAAAACGCGCTAAAAATTACATTAGCTTTCAAGCCCATCAAGTAATTCAATTCCTTCCAAGGCAATCATATTACAGTAACCTAGACATTCAGTATAGCAGTTTTAACTCGGTGATGAGGGAGAACTCTCGTGTTCCCTTGGTTATATTGTCATCAACCTTATATGAACATGTTTTTTGACAATCACAATAAACTAGGGAAGAAATTTTCTAAAAATTGAAAGATAGTTAATCACCACAACATGTTCATTGGACTAACCTTCGTAATTAGTTATGGTTTGATACAGTCTACTATCCCTGACCTTCAAGGTTCCACATGTGCAAGACGTGTGATTATAAACCACATATTTATAAAACTTCTTTTTATCGTTAGGATCTTTGCCGTTTGTTATATAGGGAACCACTATCTCAATTTTTTCAATTTTTTCTGGCACAGGGTACGCAGACAGTCCACTGTCACATTCGCCAAATTCAAGTTTAACACAGCAAAAAACTTCGATGAAATATTGAGGTCTTGATGGCTGGGTGGCAAAGTCATCATCGTATATTGAAACTACTTCTCTTTGTGGTACTAAAACAAAAGAATTAGGTATTGGTATAGGTTTGAGTAAACTATATTTCTTTATTTTCTTCTATAGATACATGACTTACTAATAATAATAATGATAATAATTAGTTTTTTATATAGCGCATCTTCCATAAGTGTCCAGATGCGCTTTACAATTTACAACTTACAGTATTTATACAACAATTGCTTAATTAAAAGTTTTGTAAAATAGACTATAAAAATCGTTCTAAAAATAGTTGAAATTACTCTAAGTAAAATCCTTACATACAATTCGGAACAAATGTGTTTTCAATTCTGATTTAAAAGATCCTATAGATTCACATAGTCTTACATTCTGAGGCAGATTATTCCACAATATTGGTGCAGATGCCCTAAAGGAACGTCTACCATAGGTTTCCAAGTTATAATTTGGAACTACTAATTTCCTATCTGATGATGATCTTAAATTTCGCCTAGGCACATAAACTTCCAACAGGTCAGAAATGTATCCTGGTGCTTGTCCAGATAAAGCCTTAAAAGTGATCAATAGTATCTTATATTGAATCCTTTCCTTGATCGGCAGCCAATGTAGATTGAATAGCACTGGTGTTATGTGATCTCTTTTCCTCGTTAATGTGACAATTCGTGCTGCTGCATTCTGAACTTTCTGGATTCGCTCAAGAGCAGTGTTTGATAGTCCGTGTAACGATGCATTTCCAAAATCAAGTCGGGATGTAGCCAGAGCATGTACTAAAATCTCTGCAGATTTAAGGCTGAGATATTTTCGTACTTTACTGATTTTCCTTAAATAATAAAATCCAGATTTGCAAATGGTTGATACTTGTGATTCCACAGTAACATTTGCGTCCATTATAATTACTACATATAATGAAAAGGCTAGTTGACTACCATCTGTTACACACCAGTGTCGAGTTAAACAAATTTAACCTAGAGATTTATCTATTCATTATTTCAAGTATTATACCTTGCAAATATATATATATATATATAAATATATATATATATATATATATATATATATATATATATATATATATATATATATATATATATATATATATATATATATATATATATATATATAGAATAGCTTAAAATACGACTACAAAAGAATACTAATTAGGATGAACCATTATATAATCATACTAATATCATATGTAAAGTCACTCCATGTGACTGTTGAAATGGCTGTTAGAATGTTAAGTTGGATAAAAAATTGATCAAACCTTTGAGGGTTGCAATGGTGTTGTGGGAATCGCTGACGACATAGTGGTCTTTGGCAAGACAGCGGAAGAGCATGATGAAACTGACCTACATGGTATGATGGAGACATGCCAAAACTCCGGTCTAAAGCTCAACCCTGAGAAATGCTTCATAAAGCAGAAACAAATCAAATTCTATGGAATTATATGCAATGAAGAGGGCATTAAGCGAGATCCATCCAAAGTTTCCGCCTTGAAACAGATGACAAAACCCAGAGATCGTCGTGAGCTCCAGACATTCCTTGAGTTAGCCACATACATGGGTCCTTTTATCCCAAACCTTAGCTCCATTACAGCACCATTACGAGAAATCCTAAAGAAGAAGAATACCGTACCTTTGAATGGAATGAAAACTGTAATGTGATTCAATTAATATTAACTATTACTAATGATGGGGCCACGTGTATATAAACTAACGTATTGATATTAAAGTCTCTTTCAAAACTTACTACATGGTAGCAGCGGTGGAATACTCGAGTGACCAAAAGAAATTAAATAAACTTATTATATAAACTAATAAGCACAAACGATATAAAAACAACAAAACAAAAACATAGTATACGTACGTGTGAAATAGAGTACAAGAAACCTATTTCAGCATAAGTTAAATATGGCAGAACCAAACGAGGTAAATACGCGAGTAGTTTCACAACATATCAAGTGACACCTCCGTCGAAACTTAGCTTTAAATCCTCGGAGTGGACCCGATGGATTCGTCGCTTTGAGCGATTCAGAATTGCGACAGAACTCGACAAGAAAGAGGAAGCCAAACAAGTCAACGCGCTTATTAGCCTGCGAACAGGCTCTCAAGCTGAATTGAGAGCCTGCATCGATGACTAATGAATTTGAATATCTGCGTCTCAAATCGTGACGCGAAATTCTCATTGGTCAGATGCTATAATTTATATGTTTCCGCTGAGCTCTATATATGTCAACTGCATGCTGAAGCACTATGCATAAAAACACATTAACTGATCAAATTGGTCTTGGCCATCTTATGTCAAAGCACGAAATGTTCTGTTTTGAGAAAACAGTATTTAAAATATTTGAACTTTTGCTTGAATATCTTATATTTCGAAAAACAGTATAAACTGTACGGTCTAAATTTAGTTTGCAAGGTCTAAATTTAGTTTGCACGAAAGTTGTAAACAACACCATATAAGGATAGACATTCCATATTTGGAAAAACGAACGTTACGGGGCAGATATTCAAATTCATTAGTCATCGATGCAGGCTCTCAATTCAGCTTGAGAGCCTGTTCGCAGGCTACGCGCTTATATATACTATGGGCGACGAGGCAGATGACATAATAACATCGTTTGGTCTCAGCGAACAAGAAATGAAAAGCTACGAAACAGTTCGAGACAAGTTTGAAAATCACTTCATCGCCAAAGAAACGTTATTTTCGAAAGAGCAAAGTTCAACGTTGGAATTCAAGACGAAAACGAACCTGTCGAAAGTTTTATTACCGACCTGCATTGTCTTGCTAAGTATTGCGAATTTGGCGTATTAAAGGATCAGCTAATAAGAGATCGCATCGTCGTCGGACTGAGAAATAAAAAGTTGTCTGAGAAATTACAATTAGGTCCAGATCTTACTTTAGCGAAAGCCATGGCTCAAGCCAGACAAAGCGAGGAAATCAAGAAACAACAAAACATTATTCATGGCAAAAATCGACCGGAAGTAGGAGCATAATATTGACAACATTTCTAAGAATAGAAAACAACCCTCGCGGGATTCGCGCGAAAAAAAAATTTTAACGACAGAAAATACGGCAAAATGGACGGCGAACCCAAATTTGCGCGGTGTTTCGGACCAGCGCACTCCAGGCAATTCTGCCCAGCAAGTGAGTCCATCTGTAATAACTGTTCAAAGAAAGGACACGGGGCAAAAGCATGTCGAAGCCAAGCAAGCCAACAACTTCGCAAGAAACAAGTTAACGAACTAACTTCCCGCCACGAAACCGAGGAGGAACTTTCGTCTGAGGAAGATGTCTACTTTTTGGGCGAAGTCGTACACTTCGATACTATCCGAAAGTTTAGCCAAAGACAACAATGTTGCACTGTCAAATCCTCTGTCAAATGTAATCACTTATCCATCTGATCAACTGTTCAATTTCCAATCCGTTACTTGTACAGAGGTTCAACGCATTATCATGGCTATGCCAAGTAATAGGTCACCAGGACCAGATAAAATAGACATGCGTGTCATCAAAGACTGTCTTCCAATCATACTGGGTCCTCTTACGCATATGATAAATTGCTCTCTAATGACAAGCACATTCCCTGACCTATGGAAGATTTCTGAAGTTATACCCCCACTAAAAGAAGGAGACCACGAGATAGCCTCAAACAATCGGCCTCTCTCACTACTCGAGGTAGTTTCAAAAGTTTGTGAAAAAGTTGTTATAAATCAATTTAGCTCCTACCTCAAAGAATTTAATCGCATATCGTCACATCAAAGCGGGAATGGGAGTCTTCACTCCACCGAAACCTTAAACATGTTTGTTACCGATACGATGTTGGAAGCCATAGACAACAAAAATCTAACGGCACTAATTTTATTGGATTTATCCAAGGCATTTGACAGTGTCAGTCATTCGATTTTATTACACAAATTGAGTTGTATCGGTGCTTCACCCGAAGCTGTTAAATGGTTCCAAGACTATTTAACAGGCAGATCCCAATACGTGCGCATTGGATCCACCAAGTCATCAGCTCGCCCAATAACCCATGGCGTTCCACAAGGTGCAATACTATCACCACTTCTGTTTTGCATCTATATTAATGATCTGCCAGGGAGCATACAATCGTGTAACCTTGATTCATACGTAGACGACTCAAAGGTTTACAAATCATTCTGCATCTACGACTTGGAACAGACAACTATCAATTTAGAGGCAGATCTACAAATAGCAGCCAAGTGGTGTTTGGAGCACCAATTACTGATCAATCCAGAAAAAACTAAATTCCTTGTAGTTGGTTCAAGACCCATGCTGCAGAATGTACCTACAGAAATATCGCTAACATTTTTAGGAAAGACTATAAGACCTGTTTTATTAGCTAAAGATTTGGGAATCAATTTGGATTCGTACCTATCCTACGACGACCACATATCTAAACTCGTTTCGTCGTGTATGAGAAAATTATGTCAAATAAATCGCGTGAAGGATAGTTTCGATAATGAAACATTAAAATTGGTCATTGAGACACTTGTAATTAACAAGCTTCTGTACTGCTCTACGGTGTGGTCCAACACGTCATCTAACAATATCAATAAACTTCAATCAGTGCAGAACTTCGCGTGCAGAGTTATATCGGGGGTAGGAAAGTTCGATCACATAACTCCGGCGTTGCGCGAACTAAATTGGTTGCCAGTGGAAAAGTTATTATTGGAAAGGGATACTGTAATGGCTTACAAGTGTTTTAATGGACTTGCACCTGACTACCTAGTAGATAAATTTATAAAGCGTTCCGACATACATGATCGATCGACAAGAAATCATGACCTCTTGGACATCCCTCTGTATAAATCTGCTGCAGGTCAAAGAACATTTAATTACCGGGGTGTTAAAATATGGAATGACTTGGATGATAAACTAAAAAATATTACATCAATAACAATTTTTAAGAAAAAACTTAGGGAGATTTTACTAAAAGAATCCTATTAAATACATTTAATATTTCATACTCTTTGTACATATTTTAACTAATTTTAAATAAGTATATGTAACATAGGTAGTTTTAGAAGTAATTTATAGTAATTTTAATATGTAATGTAGTGTTGAAAAGCCCTTAGGGGAACACGCAATAAAGTATCTATCTATCTATCTATCTATCTGTCAATAAATCTGGCAATAAACCGTGGACTGCAGACATAAAGGTAAACGAAACAAGTATTTTATTCAAAATGAACAGCGGCGCTGACGTTACAGTGATAACTTTAACAGTATATCAACAACGAAAACTACAGTCAACACTCAAGTCGACTGGCAAAGTTTTTATGGGCCCGTGCAATTACAAAATGAACTGTATAGGAACATTCACTTCACAGCTGCGACACGAGGACAAGACAACTACAGAAGAAATCTTCGTCGTTAAAGGACTCGAAAGATCATTATTTGGAAGACAAGCAGCCCACAGTCTGAATTTACTCAACTGTGTCGACGCCCTAAACAGCAACGAAATGAAAGAAAGCGTCAAAGAAAAGTATCCCAATCTTTTCACTGGTCTTGGACAAATTAAAGACCAAGAGTATGATATTAAAGTCACGCACGAAGCAACACGTTTTGCAATCACGGTTCCATGACAAGTTCCGATACCACTTCGAAACGAAACCGAACGGGAATTACAAAGAATGGAACGCAATGGAGTAATATCTCGAGTTGAAGATCCAACCGAATGGTGCGCCCCAATGGTTGTAATAATAATAATAATAATAATAATAATAATAATAATAATAATAATAATAATAATAATAATAATAATAATAATGAAACTTTATTTAATGAGGGATTACATTGATTACTTAATATAATATTCTTCCCAATGGCCCTCGATGTCTAATAGTAATATATAAAAAGAAAATCCTATTGAGAGTAACATTGACAATGAGTAATATGCTTACAATCGATGCAGCGGAATTTATTAACGTGATCTACTTCATAATTCAATTGAATAAAGTAGGTTTTGAGCTTCTTTTTATAGGAATAAATTGAGTGATTTTCAATATCTTTTAATTCGGAAGGTAAAGAATTAAATAAACTTGCACCACTGAAGGAAATTTTGGATTTTGCTTGCGTAGTCTTAACTGATGGAACTTTTAAGTCTGTAATAGACGATCTAGTTGGAATTGGATGAGAGTCGCGAACAAAGACAAACAATTTACGAAGATCCGGCGGCCAAGATGTTTTTAAAGTATTGAATACCAATAATATTTTTCTCATTTTGATCAAATTAAAAATAGGTATCCAGTTGAGTTTACGGAAAAGCACAATTGAAGGCACTTCAGTTGACTGCTCAAGAATTGGTCTCGCTGCACGTTTCTGTAGTTTTAGTAGGCACGTAATTAGATCGTTATTAGCATTGCCCCAGACTGTGCTACAATATAGCAAGTGTGGGTAGATTAGTGCGTAATATAATTGAATACGGGATTGCCAAAAAGCAATGGAAAAGTTCGAGTATGCGTAGATCTCACAAAGCTTAATCAGTTCGTGCAACGTGAAAACCATCCCCTACCAACAACCGACACGACATTTGCAAACCTTGCTGGAGCTCGGTATTTCACAAAGTTAGACGCCAACTATGGATTTTGGCATATCAAGCTCTCGGAAAGATCAAAACCTCTAACAACGTTCATAACACCCTAGGGACGGTACTGTTTCAACGTTCTTCCTTTCGGAATAACTTCAGGGTCTGAAAAGTTTCAGAAATGTATGTGCCAAATTCTCGAATGTTTGGATGGCGTCGAATGCAACATAGACGGCCGGCCAACTTGACAAAATTCGCTTCAAAAAACCTTTGATGGCATTTTGTGTTACAAGCAAACAAAACATATAGACATATTGTTTAGACACTTACCTAACTTATTAAGCCTGTTGGCACGAAAGATTTCGCCTTTGAAGCTCAAATTTTTACGATTTCTGCACCTCTCGAAAGCGCGTAAACTACACAGGAAAAATGGCGGGAAATGATCATTGGGCTTTCCCCAGCTCCCGAAATAACCAATCAGCGCTTGCCTTTAACTTGAGAGTGTTCCCTTGTTGCCTTGACAACGACAAACTCGAAAGAACTTTGGTCTTTTTTTTCACTGTTTTCAACACGGAATACAATGTAAAAAGCGAATTTGTATATAAAAAAAAACCCCAGAAAAGCAAAGACATCAAAGAATACACAGTAAAGTTTGTATATATGTTTTTTCTACTTATTTTAATAATGTAGTTCATTAAAAATCACTTCAATATTCATAGTTTTTTATGGTACTACTTGCTTATGAATCTTTCCGCTTTCACTTTGATAACATTTACAGTTGTCGCTTCAAGTAGTTTATGTGTTCTTTCCAACAACATTAAGCAATCTTCTAATCAAGTCGCCAATAGAAGTTTTCCTTCGGATATATTTTTTTATGCAGCAAAAATGAGTTATGAGTCTAGCTCAAAACGACCTTTATATCCGAAAATAGATCCAATAACTGTCCTTAAAAAGGTTAAGAGAGATTCAGAGATTTCCAAGTGTTTCTTTTGCGAGGGCAGTGAGACTGCAGCAGGCAGTGGCTTGAGTAGTTTAAACTTCCAAAATAATATGGACATGAACTGAATAGTCTGAAATTATTTCGCCATACGTGTAGCAAAACAACATGCACTCAGAAAATCATCTTAAAAAGCCACTGCAAACACAAAATTTTAAAAAAATTAACTGTATATTTGCTATATCAATTGTCAGTTTATCCTTGTTCCAAATACTTGAAGTTTATACCAAATTATAGACCACTCATAAAGCATACAGTATAAGCATGAACGAAATTAAATATAAGCAAGAGTCTTTCATTCAATTCGAATATTTCAACTTTTATGTATTATACAAAATTCTATTTCAATTCTTAATTGATTCTATATTGTCGTTGCAATTTAATAATTGTGTTTAAGCCAACAGGGCTAAACTAGTCTACGAATTTATATTGTCTACCTTTGATAAAGTACATAGACTAATATGGATGAAGCCCATTTTCGTCGTCTATCGATCCAGTTTTATCAAACAGTGTTCTGTCGGAATGAACAGCGAATTATCGCAATAAAAATTCATTATTTTATAAACAGACAGTAATACATGATAAGTAACGTTATTATAAAGTAATATTACAGTAACTTACCTTATTTCTGTAGTCTTGTGTTACTTTTAACAGCAAAAATACAATAGTTTTTATTTGTTTACCTTCGAGGCATGACATTTTGTTAGCGCTGATTGGTTAAAAGAAACTAATCAGAACGCAGGTGACCAATCACAATTTAGAACTTGTTGCGTAGCAACAAAGAAGTGCATTTCACAATGGCGAACAATGTATTTGATGGCCGCGAACTGGCAGTTGAAAGCCTTCGAATATCTCCGTTAAACTCTGAATCAAAGGTGCCAACAACCAAAATATTAAAGATTGTGTCTATTGGAAATTATCTAGCATTGTTGGCTGCTTGTAACAGAAAATGCCATCACCGATAACAATTTCGCAAGTTGGCCGGCCGTCTAACATTGATGACGTTCTAGTTCACGGTGCAACACAAGAAGAACACGACCGAAGATTGGTCCAACGACTCGGTAACGCCAACGTCACGCTAAATGCCGAAAAGTGTGTTTTTAATGTCTCGAGTGTGAAATTCCTAGGTCAGATCGTGGGAGTCGATGGCATCAAACCCGATCCAGAGAAAATACAAGCGATTCTCGAAATGCCACACCCAACCAACCTACATGAAGTCCGCTCCTTTCTTGGAATGGTAAACCAATGGACCTTTCCCCTTATAACTAAAATTTTGATCTAGACAAAAAATTCATCATAGCTTGAAAGAACATCACAAAATTAGTAATATTCCAAAGTTTCGTTGCGAAATGTTGTAAAATGCGGATAATATAGCCTTGCGAAGTTTGGCGTTTTTCAGTAATTTTGTATTACGCATGGGAAATTGACATCCCAATCGGGTGTTGGGGCATCAATTTCCCGTTTGTAATACAAACTGACTGAAAATCGCAAATTTCGCAGGGCTATATTATCCGCATTTTACAACATTTCGCAACGAAACTTCGGAATATTACTAATCTTGTGATGCTCTTTCAAGCTGTGTTGAACTTTTGTCCACACTTGCCTAGATCAAAATTTTAGTTATAAGGGGAAAGGTCCATATAGCCAATTTTCCACCAATCTTGCTGACCTGACAAAGCCCATCCGAGAACTGCTAGTTAAGAACACTGCGTGGACATGGGGACCAACACAACAAGACTCTTTTGACAAAATCAAGAAAGCCCTGACATCAGCACCAATACTAACCTTGTACGACCCCAACAAAGCAACCAAAATAGCAGCCGACGCATCATCATACGGTCTTGGAGCGGTGGTGCTGCAAGAAGATGAACCAGACACCTGGAAACCTGTATCATTCATTTCAAGATCGATGACAACAACCGAGGCTAGGTATGCCCAGATAGAGAAAGAAGCTCTAGCGGTAACTTGGGCATGTGAACGGTCAAGCAATTACATAATTGGAAAAACAATAACAATTGAAACTGACCACAAACCACTGGTACCTTTATTAACCAACCATACCATCGACAAGTTACCTCCAAGACTACAACGCTACAAGATGAGACTAATGAGATTCCACATCAAAGATGTTCGACACGTACCTGGAAAACTACACTACACAGCCGACACTCGGTCCAGGAAGATACCTGAAAGCACAGTCCAACCAACCGTAGAAGAAAACGAAATGAACGCTTACGTTTTAAGTGTAATTGATGCCTTGCCCGCATCTAATCCGAGATTGAAGGAAATCCAACAAGCCCAAGATGAAGACGAGGTATGCAAAGAAGTAAAGTAATACTGTATGGATCAATGGCCAGAAAAAGATCATGTCACTCCTGCCGTAAAACCTTACTGGTCAGTACAAGGAGAGCTCACCATCGCCGACGGGTTATTGCTCAAAGGAACAAGACTGGTCATTCCATCCCGCTTGCAACGCCAAACCCTCAACCAAATACACGAAGGTCACCAAGGTATCAGCAAATGCAGAGAACGAGCCAAAATATCCGTTTGGCGGCCAGGACTCAGTGCCCAAATTAAAGTCATGGTCGAAAACTGTACAACATGCAGCAAATTCAGACAGCAGTAGAACCATTGATGCCAACGCCACTCCCTCAAAGACCATGGCAATTGATTGCAACAGACCTTTCTATTCTAGAAAAGGTTACTTACCTACAGGTGGTAGATTATTATTCTCGCTACGTCGAAGTTGTGGCATTACCTAAAATACAAGTTCATCGAAGATCGTTCAAGCCCTGAAAACCATTTTCGCCAGGCACGGGATTCCTGACGAGGTACATTCCGACAATGGGCCTCAATATCATAGTGACGAATTCGCTCAGTTTGCAAAGGATTGGGGATTCAAACACAGTACCAGCAGCCCTCGTTATCCTCAAGCGAACGACGAAGTGGAACGAGCAGTAAAGACAGTGAAAAACATCCTGACAAAGGAACAAGATCCAACAAAAGCACTACTGGCATATAGATCAACACCATTAGCAAGCGGATACTCTCCAGCAGAACTCCTTATGGGAAGAAAGATAAAGTCAACATTACCAATAACGCACCACATTTAACACCACAACTGCCAAACCAGAAACTCTTCATAGAAAAGGAAGAAGTTTATAGATCGAAGCAGAAAAAGAACTTTGACAATCGCCAAAAAGCTCAACCACTAAAACCTCTACCACCAGGACTCCAGGAGCAACAGTTTACATCACAGACATGGATTGTACCGGAACAGTAATTTGACCATCAAAGAAACCAAGATCATATCTGATTGATACTCCTACAACGGTAGTAAGACGAAACCGAGTACAGCTGCATAACATTCCCAAGGACATTGATAAGAAACAAGACGAACAGGAAACAACACCATCATTAAATATAAATAGCAGACCTAACAGAATTAAAACATTTTCTTTGAAAGCAAGAGAAAATCTTGGACTAGAGTAGCTGACATTTAAAATTATTAAAACATTAAAGTTACAATTAAGATACAACGAAGTAATTAACAAACGCAACAACAAGCCCTCTATCCCGACGAGATTCATATCAGACAATGAAACGTTAACAGATCCCACAAAAATTGCCAAAAGATTTTGTAGTTTCTTTACCAACATTGGTCCTACACTCGCAAAAAAATACCTCCAGTAGACGTTTCGTTCATTTCTGATTGAAAATAATAATGCACCTATAATTATAAAACCTACAAACGTTAATGAACTTCGGCATATATGCAAAGCTTTTAAATCGGGGAAAGCCCCTGGTGTTGATAACGTTCCTACGCATATAATTAAAAATTCTTTTGACCTAATATCTGAACCACTCGTGAAACTAATAAACCTTTCGTTATCTACTGGAGTTTTTCCTGATAAACTAAAACTTGCTCAAATCATTCCCATATATAAGTCTGGTGAATCCGACTCTGTTACAAACTATAGGCCAATTTCTCTGCTAACAAGCTTTTATAAATTTTTTGAAAAAGTTATGCATAACCGCTTGAGCGATTTTATTGAAAGATACGAAATTCTTTACTGCTGTCAATTTGGTTTCCGAAAGAATCACTCGACTCATTAGCGTTAATTCATTTGGTTAACAAAATCACAACAGCTATTGATCGTAAAGAGGTTACTGCTGGTGTGTTCCTAGATCTTTCAAAAGCTTTTGACACACTTAACCATGCATGAGATCTTACTTGCTAAATTATAACACTATGGCATCAATGGTTTAGCTTTGAAGTGGTAAAAAGCTACTTACTGGACCGTAAACAATTTGTTCAGTTTAAAGAATCGCGTTCCTCAGAACAAACCATAGTATGTGGTATTCCTCAGGGATCTATATTAGGCCGATTGCTTTTCATCTTATATATCAATGATATTTCGAATGCTTCTACACCGACAGAGTCGCTGATTTTTGCAGATGACACCAGCATATTTTACTCGCATTCTGATCCAAACTACTTGGAGTCTGTAATGAATGAGAAATTGCAGATGTTTGATGTTTGGAAGAAATGTAATAAACTTTCAGTTAACATAAAAATACTAATTATGTTATTTTCAAATCGAGTAAGAAAAAAATTCCACACAATTTTCTTTTTTGTTATGGCAATGAAATACTTAAACAAGAAAACACCACAAAGTTTTTAGGTGTATACATTGATCAACACCTTACTTGGAAGGATCATATTTAGTCATATTGGCAAAAAAAGTTCTAAGTCAGTTGGCATAATATATAGGTCTCGTTTCTATTTATCAACTAAAACTATATTATCTCTATATTATACTTTGATTTATCCATATATCACTTATTGTAATATTGCCTGGTCATCGTCATCTACATATGTAACTAATGTAAATAGAATATTTTACTTACAAAACGTGCAGTGCGAGCAATAACAAATTCTAATTTTTGTGCCCACTCTACCCCTTTATTCTCACAATTAGGTATACTAGATATATTCAAAGTCAACTCACTTTATATAGCACGATTTATGTTCTGCTACAATAGTCAATTACTGCCACCTACATGTCTTGACTTATTCGCACGCAATAATCAGATACATAATTACAACACTAGATCAGCAATGAACTATCACACCCACACTTGTCGTACAAACCGCAAAAAATTTACAATACTTTATCAAGGATTAGGAATTCTCTGCCAACAAATATAAAAGATTCACTTAGCCTCTATAGTTTTAAGAAAACTATGATGGAATTTCTACTTAATTAGTTTGTGCCGCACAAATGCACTACAGCTGTGAGTTAAATATCTATTATTTTCTATATCCCTATATTTTCTATATAAGCATTATTCAGTTATATTAATATCTTGAGGTGGTCTCAAAATAAGCCTGATGGTTTCATGAGGTCTCCTCGCCACTTCATTTATATTCTCCTAATTTAGGTAAATTTTAATAATATGTGTGTGGCAAATAAATCATTCAATCATTCAACGTCACCTAGCTGATAATTGACTCTCCAAACTGTTAGCTATCTCACGCAACGACAGAAACAAAATTGTGATTGGACGGACGAAAGGGTCCAGGTGGGGGCGGATATTTATAACACATAATTTGGAGCACATAACATTAAAATGTCAAATTCTGAAGGTGAATAATAAAATCAGTAGTTTTCTCTTACATTTGAAAAGTTGAAAAAGAGCAACATTTCAGCAGCTGCTTTGACACAGAACACTTTACGAAAAGTGGGAAAAGCACCAAACAATAATGCCCATATACAGGGTGTATCAATAAAAACGCAACCTCGGAATTTCCTAAGAAATCACTTTGCAATTCTTAAACATAAAAGATTTTAGGCCCCTGGGAATTGAAATCGAATTGCTAATAGATCATATTACTGTTGTTGTGCATTAAATAAATGCATAAATTTTGCTTTATGCACTCGCGTGTGCAGTAATTTTGACAGTTATGCTATTTTAAATTCCCAGGCGCCGAAAATCTTTTGTCTTTAAAACAATGTCGATTTCTTGGGAAATTAAAAATCTTTTATGCTTAAGAATTGTAAAGTGATTTCTTAGGAAATTCCGAGGTTGCGTTTTTTTTTACACCCTGTAGATAAATGTGGTCCTTGAAGCACTCAACATTCCGTTGATTCCAACTACATTTGTAAGGAATAAAAAGACAATTAAAGAAATTGATGCAAAATACTTTCATTGTAAAATTTGAAAAATCTGAATCTGGTTCGATACATGCAGTCATTTTTCTCCTTATTAATTATAACGTCGTGGCTTTGTCATTGAAAACGGTATCACTCAAACGTAAGTTTATATGACAGCCGTTTCTTGGTGAAGTTGTATGTTTTGTTTTCTTTGTTTTTGTCACTAATTAAAAATACTGTACTTTTTAAATATGACTTTTAATGTTTCTTTCATAACACCTACGTAGTCTACACAAATACGATATACAAATACGTGGCGGCAATTATGTTATTAATCTTTTTAGCTCTTTCATTCTGGAAAACACCCACGACAATAATTTAACGACATAATACTGTAACTCTGAAGATTTTTTGGTATCTCACGCGATGGTGCAAATAAAAGTCTGAGTTGACTGATATAAACATTTCATAAGATATCTATCTGCATGAGACGCAAAACTGAAATCACAAAGTAAAACAGAACATACAAGGCATTTATTTGGGTCAACGATGAAGACCTTAATTGCAGCTCTGGTCATAGTTTTTGGAATTTTCGGTGGCACTAAAGGTAATTCTACACTTCCAAATATACCTTTATAGTAAAATTGTAATTCTTTCTACATTTCCACGCGTATCGGATAATGCAAGCGTCAAAATCACCCCAACGTTTAATTTAACAATTTCTCCAAACAAGTAAGTTTGTTCCGATTTACGCCTGCCACAGTAGTCCAGTCAGATCACTATAAGTACATGGTCTTAATCAAAGTAATCGCAATAGATTTTTTCAGTGGTAAAGTGTGAGAAAAGGTGTTCTGATTAACATATTAAAAATAAAAAAAATCCCTTCGGTGGAACATGGTAAAAATCGAGTTTTTCTTACTTCTACCTATAGAAAACTATTGCGGACAAAATGTTGAAATTATGTTTTTGCAAATATAACCTGCATCATCTGTTTAAGCTTTACAATAATGTAGGTTACATTTGCCTAAAAAAGATTTCAAAATTTGAACATTCTGTCCACAATACTTTTATAGGTAGAATGGTGGTTTTCCATGGTTTTTCACCATGTTCCACCGAAGGAATCTTTTTTTATTTTTAGTATGTTAATAAGGACACCTTCCCTCACGTTTTACCTGTGAAAAGATTCTATTGCAATTTATTTGACCTCTGGTCACAGATTGACTGGACTACAGTGCATTTGGCCGTCGACTTTGTGTTAAATATAACTTTAATCTTTATAGTAAATCGAAGACTTTTGAAATATTAAACGCCAATTGCCTGGTAATTTTTAACTGTATTATAAACAGTGCCACAAAGTAAAACAGAACACACAAGGCATTTATTTGGGTCAACGATGAAGACCTTAATTGCAGCTCTGCATGGTCATAATTTTTGGAATTCTCTGTGGCATTAGCTTTAATCTTTATAGTAACTAAGTATTTCGAGCGCTTTTGAAATATTAAACGCCAATTGCATGGTACTTTTTACATGTATCATAAACAGTGGCTGTGCATAATTGCATGCAAAGTATTGAATTGAATAGTGACAAAACTGATATTGCAACCGAAATAAATGTTTTGAAATTTCATCAGAATTTATACATCAGTGCTTACAAACATCATGGACTGGAAAAGCATCAAGGGGCAAAATTACACTGTTCCATGACTGTACAAACCACGGACACAGTCCGCGTCTTCCAGTCCATGTTTTGCAACATGCCGAAATCCCTTATAATGAGCATGCATGAATGCGCCTAATCATGCAGTGAATGCAGACTTGTAGCATTATTTTCATCAATTTTCACATGTTTTCTCATGATCTGTTTTGAATATCGATTAACGTGATGAACTATTTTCTGAGATGTTGATATTATTTTTTAAGCCCTTCTCTTAATTTAGATCTGTAACGACCTCTGTTCACGTTAGTATACAAGTTTAGGTGGAATTTTCCAGGCGCACCCTGAAGTCCACAATTTCCGGCCATGAAGCCATACTTCCACTGACACATTGTTTTAAGTTACAGAACACCTTTGAGTGTTAATTTTGCCTAAAATTTTTTTATTGGTTTCCATGAAAGCATTAGACTAGTTCTACTATCTGACAAAGTTTGAACGAAAAATGTTAAAAACTCGCGGAGTTATTTAATAAAATACATTTCGCTGCAATAAGAAAAACATTGAAAATGTAATATTCAAATTCAATTTTCTCCCGAAGATTTTACGGGTAATTACTGATTTTCAAACGAGTTGTGCTCCTGCGGGTTTTGACCAATTTTTCTCAAATTTTCACAGGACATAGCTAAAGACGTCAGTTTCAAAATTGTGTTCGGCTTTTTCTTAGTTTTGAATATTTTAATAATAAAGAGCAATTCACTCAAATAATTCAGAAATATATTGCAGTCGTCAAAGAAATCGCCATATCAGCGGAATGACGAAATAAACAAAAATTTCCGGACACAATTTTTTAGAACAACTATTTTACTGTATAAAAATGATATTTTCATAAATATAACTTAAAACCAGCAGGAGCACAACTCAAAAGCGTAACCGGTACCGCGATTTAAGATTTTCCTGAATAATTCTTATAGCGCGCAGTAGCGATTTTCCGCAAAACGCCAAAAAGGGTGTCCTGTAACCTTAACAGGTATATACACTAGGAACTTTTCCTGAGCCGCGAAACTGTCCGTATATTCTGTGGCACAAGATGCATGTGTTTAAACGCGGTTGATTTAAATAAAGACAAGGTGAACGAAGTTTAATTTTTGAAAGACATAATAATTATTTGCACCTGCTGTTTAAAGGCTTGAATCACCAACTGAAACATTGTTGCAATAATATTCTTAATTCCTCTGTTGTCACAAAAATCGTATCGTATAAAATATCAAGGGACCGGGCATTATTTATGGCAGGTCGCACCGAAGAGAAAATTTGGGTAAACTAAATTTCCACTGAGTAAAATTTGGGTAAATAAACGAGGTTGGGTAATAAAAAATTATTGTCATTAGTTCACAGCATGACTCACTCAAATACTGAAGTCTAACAAGCAATGTCAACAGTCATATATCATATGTTAACGCAAATACTGTATGTAAATCAATCACGGGTCACTATTTTGATCATTTTCCGATTTGTCATGGGGGAAAATGGTATCTCCAAAAAAGTATATTTGCAGACGACATAAAACTTTAGACTGCAGAAACTTGTACAAGCAGTTATCAAACTCATGTCACAGAGGTGATAAAGGATAGGTGTATAACAACTGAATGGTGAGCTTTTGTAAAGTTCTCGGTCAGGGGTGGGTACGGTGTTTATTTTTTGTTGATATTTGAGATTGGGTCAAATTTTTTAAAAGTCCAATCAGCCAAATTTTTACCAAGAAAAACCTTTGTTTTCGGTGCCAACCCCCACCATGTCACATGACACTAATATCGGATATATCAATGAAATCATTCAACTTTTTTGCGGATCAAGTAGGACCAGGGCATTTTTTAAGAATTCGTCAGTGGGGGGGCCATCTACAAAAAGGGACCATACCATACCGAGTGTGGAGCAATGATAGATGGTTTGTTGGTAACAAAAAGTTTGGTGTGGTATCGCATTTAATAGTAGGGGGGTGAGAGCAGGGCCTTAGGAAGCTCTTTTCGTTTGGGGGGGGGGGCTGAAAGCGAGGGCCGAAGGCCCGAGGAAATTTTTAAATTTAGAGTCTCTGAAATGCCATTTCCTGGACTTTGGGGAAGATTTGACAGATTTCTGATTGTCAGAATACAGCGTTTTTAGTATGTGGAAATTTAGAATTCAGTAGTACTAAATGGACGAAGGTGTATTTAATTAACAATATATTGGATAAGTTGCAGGAAAGTATGGGTAATATCTTCATTCTTTGCAGTTTGTCATGGATTAAATAATAAAGGTCTGCATGATTTTAAAAAATGAATGATTATTAGCAAATTACTGGGGGGGCTGCAGCCCCCCACCCCGGGCGCGGTTGCTACGGTCCTGGAGAGGGTCTGGGGTTTTCTCCCCCAGAAAATTTTTGTATTTTTCTACCCCTATGACTGCAATTCCCTGCATTTTCTGAAACAGATTTTTGGATATACAGCATTACATTATGCTGTAGATAGACTGAACCTGCAGTTAAGTACTTGCATAGTATGTTTATGTAGATACCACAACTTGGCAGTCACTTAGGGAGCCAGCTTGATAAACTTAGAGTTCCCGACTCCCACGAAGCGCCACCATGGTTGGCACAGAGTGGAAAAATTTTGAAAATTTTGCGTCTCTAAATCATCGGAAATGGCATTTTCAAAGTCTTCTATACGTCTTTTGTTTGGCCCTTTCATTAATTCGTTCATTATGATTTGTGAGTCTATGATGATATCCGCGAGTCAGGATGGATTATTACGAGAAATGTTATCAAAATATCGATTACAGATATTTGATTATATGTATATATGATTTCAAATACTTCTAGTATCGAAATCAAATTGTTTTTTTTTGGTGGGGGCCAAAATTATCCCCCCCTTATAAAACACATGGTTGAGGGCCTGTTGCCCCCTGCGGTCACTAACTTGTCCAACAACTCAAACTCTATAGGGTCTGGGAAATGCAATCCACTGCCTGGGAAATGTTTAAAATCTAATAAGGTATTTATTAAACATAAAAGACAGGACATAAGATTCACAAAGCAAATTTCAGTTACTAGAATATCAAACCTCCCTTCTAAATTCAATGTTTTGCTTATATTTTAGAGAAAAGGGACTTTGACTGGGGGGGCCAAAATGGTTGAGTGGGGGGGCCACCATGGGGGCTGGGGGGGCTTTGGCCCCCCCAGTTATATAGTTAAAAAATGCCCTGAGTAGGACAAAGCTTGAAAATGATGCTTCTTCCACGTCTGTAGACTTGTGTATATCACGATTTTCTAAATGTTCTGTTGTTGCTATTTGTTCGTGGATACATGGATATATATATATGGGGAAAAACAAATTTAAATTCACGAAGAACGTACACTTCACCATTAGAAACAAGCCCATGAATTTTTAACGGTAATAATGTCCAAATGAAAATATATTTGTGCTTTTCTAGTATCTAATGGAGCAATAATAGTGAACCGGACTATCACCATGGCCACAAATACCACAATGACTCCTCCCACGGTCGAAACTGAATCTGAAATTATCACTACGTCTGCGTTGACATGCAAACACATGAATGGAACCTGTGAAAGTGAATGTAAATGTGGCAGCCAAGAGGACCATGGGCAACTTAATTGTCCTCCAAACCTCACCTGCTGTCAACATCTTGATTAATGGAGCTCTTACTATTTGTTCTTCTATTAAATCTCGTGATTGTGACTTTTGCATGTTCGAATGACGACTTAGCAGCTAATTAACCTAAAAAGTCAAGCGTTTAGACAATGTTCTGTGTTCATAAATAAAATAGGTTAAATAGGATAAAAATATGTTTAGTTGATTTTTTTAATCCTTAGTAGAAAGTAGTTTTTCTATGCTGGGCATAATTTATTTTAGTGACTTTTAAATTAAATGTTTCCTTTCTTTGGACTAGCACTCAACGTGTTTATGAAACGAAATTTTGCCCATACTTTTCATTGCAGCACTGATAAGTATGTTTAAACTTATGAACAATGGCGGTTGCAGGTTATTGCTGCCGAAGGCATCCTCCCATTTTTGACGATGTGTTTCTCTCGCAACAGTCCCTTTGCTGTTGGCTGAACGATAACTCGATTTTTATTTGCATGTACGGATGTACGGATGATCAGATTTTTGACCCGAGACGACCTTTGTTCGGCGGTCGAGAATGCATAATACTATACAAATTATTATATAAATGTCAAAGTTTCGAATAATTTACCGGTTATTGGAGTGAACTTTGAAACTAAAACTGGGTAAATGGAACGCCGTAAACGTTTAAGAGAAAAGTTTAATAAAATGAACCTTGCCGGAACTTTACGGTTAACGCGCATGCACAGTGCACCCATTCTATATTGTTATATAGTTGGTGTCAAAGTTCAATTTTTCTGTTTGCCGATTCTATATTGTTATATAGTTGGTGTCAAAGTTCAATTTTTCTGTTTGCCGATTGGTCAAAACCGTGTCACAAGGCGGTCCACAAAACGTCATGTTCGGCAACCGGTCCGCAATGAAACATTTATTGACCGTCAATAATAAAATGGGTGCAATACGCATGCGTGTCAACCATGAAGTTCCCAAGTTCATTTTTTAAACTTTTTACTAAACATTTACGGCGTCCAATTTATCCAGTTTTGGTTTCAAATTAAGTTCACTCCAATAACCGGTGAATTATTTATACTTTGACACTTATACACTGTAAATCTGGGAGTGTTGCCACAACACCAAAATCGGTGTAAATTCTTGCCTCTGTGGGGACACCGAAAAGGTGTCAGTTAACACTGATTTTAGTGTTAATTTACACCTCTTCAGTGTACATAGTTGTGTCTGTATGAACACCCATTTGGTGTTAATTTGCACCATCCTAGGTTATTTGACGCTGCTTTGGTGTAAATCCGCTTGCCTCTGTGGGGACACCAATTTGGTGTTTATTTACGCTGAGAGGGTAAACTTACACTATCGTAGGTTATTTAACGCTGCTTTGGTGTAAATCCGCTTGCCTCTGTGGGGACACCAATTTGGTGTTTGTTTACACTGAGAGAGTAAATTTACACTATCCTAGGTTACTTAACACTGCTTTGGTGTAAATCCGTTTGCCTCTGTGGGGACACCAATTTGGTGTTTATTTACACTGAGAGGGTAAACTTACACTGTCCTAAGTTATTTAACGCTGCTTTGGTGTAAATCCGCTTGCCTCTGTGGGGACACCAATTTGGTGTTTGTTTACACTGAGAGAGTAAACTTACACTGCCATAGGTTATCTAGCACTTCTTTGGTGTAAATCTACTTTCCTCTGTGGTGACACCAAATTGGTGTAAAGGTACACCTCGAAAGTAAACTTACACTTCCCAAGGTTTAAATATGCTTGCAGTGTAAAGTTTACTTTCTAGTGTTCAATGTAATGTAATTATATTATACCAATGTAGTAACAGTTAAAAATAAATTTATTACAAATTTAAACTATAATTATTTTTAGAGTTTAAGACTATTGTCTATATATACATATTTTGATTCAATTGAATCATTTTAACAGTTTACATCAGTCACAGACTCACAATCCAAATTAAAGTTCATGTTACCAGTACAGGTGATTTGAAAACCAATAGTCTTTGCTGAATGGCACTTTGACACAGTCAAAAATGAGAACACGTCACTATATAGCAGCGCACACAATCGACAAATGTTTTGCTGTAACTGTCCTTCGTTAAACATTAATGCATGGCCAACACGTTCCCTTGAAAAAATAATTATTTTGCATTACAGAATATTATGAAGAGTGCACTGCACCTTTTATGTGTTTATCAAACAACTTATAGATAAAACAAACTCAATCTAATAGTACTTTTGTT